TATTTAGTCAGCCACCAATTGTGCAAGTTCTCCCACTTAAAAAGATGAAAGAGGCCTGTAATTTTAATCCTAGGTACACTTCAACTATGAGAGACAGAATGGGGGGAAAGAATCCAGGAAATCACATTGTAGGATTTTTAATGAATTAATTGGTAAATTCCTCGGTAAAATAAGTATTTGGTCACCTACAAACAAACAAAATTTCTGGCTCTCACAGACCTGTAACTTCTTCTTTAAGAACCTCCTCTGTCCTCCACTTGTTAACTGTATTAATGGCACCTGTTTGAACTCGTTATCAGTATAAAAGACACCTGTCCACAATCTCAAACAGCCACACTCCAAACTCCACTATGGCCAAGACCAAAGAGCTGTCAAAGGACACTAGAAACACAATTGTAGACCTGCACCAGGCTGGGAAGACTGACTGAGACTGCCAAGGTAAGCAGCTTGGTGTGAAGAAATCAACTGTGGGAGCAATTATTAGAAAATGGAAGACATACAAGACCACTCATAATCTCCCTCGATCTGGGGCTCCACGCAAGATCTCACCCCGTGGGGTCAAAATGATCACAAGAACGGTGAGCAAAAATCCAAGAACCACACGGGGGGACCTAGTCAATGACCTGCAGAGAGCTGGGACCAAAGTAACAAAGGCTAAAATCATGTCCAGGCCCGTCTGAAGTTTGCTAGAGAGCATTTAGATGATCCAGAAGAGGATTGGGAGAATGTCAGATGAAACCAAAATAGAACTCTTTGGTAAAAACTCAACTAGACGTGTTTGGAGGAGAAAGAATGCTGAGTTGCATCCAAAGAACACCATACCTACTGTGAAACATGGGGGTGGAAACATCATGCTTTGGGGCTGTTTTTCTGCAAAGGGACCAGGACGACTGATCCGTGTAAAGGAAAGAATGAATGGGGCCATGTATCGTGAGATTTTGAGTGACAACCTCCTTCCATCAGCAAGGGCATTGAAGAGGAAACGTGGCTGGGTCTTTCAGCATGACAATGATCCCAAACACACCGCCCGGGCAACGAAGGAGTGGCTTCGTAAGAAGCATTTCAAGGTCCTGGAGTGGCCTAGCCAGTCTCCAGATCTCAACCCCATAGAAAATCTTTGGAGGGAGTTGAAAGTCCGCGTTGCCCAGGGACAGCCCCAAAACATCACTACTCTAGAGGAGATCTGCATGGAGGAATGGGCCAAAAATACCAGCAACAGTGTGTGAAAACCTTGTGAAGACTTACAGAAAACGTTTGACCTCTGTCATTGCCAACAAAGGGTATATAACAAAGTATTGAGATGAACTTTTGCTATTGACCAAATAAAAAAAAAATGTCCACCATAATTTGCAAATAAATTATTTACAAATCAGTGATTTTCTGGATTTTTTTTTTTCTCATTTAGTCTCTCATAGTTGAGGATGAAAATTACAGGCCTCTCTCATCTTTTTAAGTGGGAGAACTTGCACAATTGGTGGCTGACTAAATACTTTTTTGCCCCACTGTAACTTCAACTGGACCTCATGCATCTGGTGTTGCTGGCTATTATCCCAGCCCCCCACCACACACACACACACACACACACACACACACACACAGATATCTCAGTGTAGCCATGCCGTCCCATATGGTAGTGTTTGTGTGTGTGTGAGACAGGAAGACATTAATACAAACGGGGCTGAGTTTTATAGCCCAAAGGCTTTTTCATGGCCTAGAGACCTTCATCGACTTTGCCCACGGGACGCCGTGAGCCTTCAAGATGAAGACAGTTTCTGATTCTCATGCCAGGATCTGTCTTACTTTTGGTACTCTCAGAAACGAGTACTGGCCAATGTTTCAGTCGACTTTGTACAAAAGTATCTGTTCTCATGACATCCTCAGGTGATAAAGTATACTGGCAGCTAAAGTGAACAGAATTGTGAATCTTTTCGTGATCAGATACAATTTCAGTCTTTACCAACTATTTAAAAAGCTCTAATGCTGGTTCCCCAAACAGCACCGTTTGAGCTGTTTGTACCTCGGCTCTTGAGCAGTTAGTTGATTAAAGGTTAGCCTGTGAGGTTGTCCTGTGGTCTCCGTCTCACATCTGGAACTGGTCTGCGCGCACAAAACAAAACGAGAGGGATGGAGAAGTCTGCTACGTGAACCTTGAAAGCTGTAATTGAAGGAGTTCCTGTTTAATCAGATCCCTCCATCTCTTCTTTCTCACTTCCTTCCTTCTCTGCTGGGCTTCTGATTACCTCTCCCATAATGCTTCACTCCCCCCCACCCCCTCTGAATCTTCCTTTTGCTATATCTCCTTCCTTTTTCCTTGTTTCCATGTGCTGCCTCGCTCTTACCTCCAGCAATTTGATCCATTGATGTTCAACTAGCTTAGCCTGCAATTAGCTGTGTGTGTGTGTGTGTTCCCAAGGGAAAGTCTGCTTTCTTTAGGGTTCAAGTTTCCCTTTGTTTTTTAGATCTGTAGTTCTCTTCTGTTCTTTGTAGTCATTTTCAAAAGTGAAAAGCGCTCAACTGCAAGTTAATTTTTGTTACTTGAAATGAATTGATATTTTCTCTTTCTTTTTCTTTTAGGACTTCTTTTTTTCTTTGTCTACCGATGAGTCTGAGGGTATTCAGGCCTCAGGGCGTTGGTGTGTGTGCGTGTGTGTAATAATGATTATTACTAGTCAGAAACACCTGGCAACAGGAAGGGAGAAAATTGTCAGTTGTAAAGATGAAGGAGTCTGTGTCACGATACTAAAATGACGACTTCAAGACGTTTCCTAACTAAATATTCTCAAAACTGCTTCACAGGTAAACATAAGGAAATGTAATAATAGATTCAGAAAGAAAATTCAAGGCAGGATGATGATGATGATGTGAAAAGATGATATAAAAGAAAAAGCGGATTATTGTACCATAGTGTGTTCATGTATTTTCTTCAGTGTTGGAAGAAGGACTCCAATCATTTTCTTAATTAAAACTTTAAATTCTTTGTTCCAAAAGTACTCTCTTACAAGTAACCTTCCTGATTTAAAAGCAATACTTGAGTTTTATGTACTTTTCAACACTGGTTTTAATATCCCACCAGGACTTTTTTCACAAGGATCTTAAGTCACTGGTTATTCCTCTCCCCCAGAGTCCTTCAATATGACGGTATATACAGCGCAACGCAGAATGCAGAATGATGTGTTTTTAAATGCAGAGCTAGACAAAGAAGAACTACGGTTACATGAGTACCAGATATTTGTAAAGTAGCTTATTTTGACAGTGTTTGTTGATGTGTATACTGTATGGTTATTTTAAACCATACAGTACAATTACCTCTCGTGATATTCATACATATGGTTACTATCCAAAGTGCGACAGTAGCTCCGTCTGGAGGGACTTTGCTTGGGACCAGAAGGTCGCTGGTTCAAGTCCCAGAACAGACAAAAATGGATTATGGACTGGTACTTTGAGAGGTGCCTTTCGAACAAGGTTACAGACTCGAATGCAAAGACTTGATGTCACTGTATGTGCAAGTGTGTGCCAATTGAGATTTTGCATTTTCCAAATGACAGATATCGTTATAGAACATTCTGACCATATAGCCCACCATAGTATCCTAATCTTTCTGAAACCCTTCAGGTCTGTGCAGATCATTCTCGTCTCAGTCGTTACCATGACATGCCTTTTTTGGTGAGGGGTTGTCCGGGAAGTGTTTCAGTGCAGCCAATCACGGAGTGCACTTTCTTTTTTGTGCGGTAAGAAAGCTTTCCTTGATTTTAATCAGCCCCCATTTCATGCTGCCAGCGGGATGTCTGCGCACACAGCAGCATGTAAACCCATGGAGGCCAAAGGTCAGCTGGTGTGTGTGTGTGTGTGTGTGTGTGTGTGTGTGTGTGTGTGTGTGTGTGTGTGTGTGTGTGTGTGTGTGTGTGTGTGTGTGTGGAAAACAAGGTCAAAGCTGTAAAACTTCAGAAACATACCTCATGAGACTCCACGTCCTTGTTGTGTGGAACCAGAAAAAAGCAGTCAATGTTCACGCATCTCACTCCTCATCGTGTGTCACTATCTAATCTCCTTTGTGTTTCATAAAGCTTATATGGGAAATACTTAATCCAGGGAATGTTTATGAAAGATTTCAAACAAGCAGCTACATGTTGTTTTTCCTCTGGTGAGTTAGATTATTAGATCAGTTATACTTTATTGAGTCCAAGTTGGTTTTTTTCTTTTTTGGACGAGGATCCTGCACTTCACCTGCCTTGTTCTTGGTCTGGGACTTGGCCTGGCAACCTTCAGGTTACCAGGCCAAGTCACCATGGACTGAGCTACTATTGGCCCAAAGAGAGGGGAACCTAAAGTGTTAGCAACATGCCAAGAGGGCCGCAACTAAAGATTGTTTTGCTTACCAGAACTACCATTTGATACTGCAGAATTCTAAGTACAGGTACTAGTTTAAGTATATGTAGTTAACGATCCCCACAATGACTATAATATATGTTCTCTTAAAATGACTACTTTTATCCTAAGTATAATATTGAATGGAGGACTCTTACTTCTGACAGTATTTAGCATTGAATCCATGTAGTACTGTTATTTCTTCTTAATGAAAAGAGCTTCTTAATATTAGAATATCATCTTGTATATATCAATATTTTTCCTCCCTAATATTGGTATTGAAAAATCCAATATATATCCAGTTCATCTTTTACTTTTTATTTATTGACTTGATTTGTCCATACATGTCCTTTTTCTCATAAAACAAAACGTATATCTTTACAGGCAGTAAAACAATCTGCCTTATTGTGTGCCTTCAATCCAAAAGCAGCTATTTTCTTTGTTTGATGTGAATGGGGGAAAAAATGATGAAAATGATGGAGTAACCTAAGAGAAAAATATTTAAAGTAATCATTAACTGCAGGGAATGTTATTTGGGAATGTATTTTGAATGTCTGTCTTTCTCTCTCAACATTCCTTTAACAATGTGCGTTATTGAAAAAGTGTCTTTAATTGTATACATGTCTCTCTTTCAGGTGCAGTCTGATGCTGATGGCGGTCCCAGGTTGGCCGTCACCCTCAGAGCTGACAGTGAGTTCCTCTTTAATTCTCTTCATCTGCACAATTACTAACAACGTAGCAACCTTATCTTTTGCTATCAAAAAATGTCAAATAAAATCTGAGTTATCTTAATGCAGGAAGAGGGGATTGTCATGTCGGTCTAAAAAAAACAAACAGGAAATATTAGCACTTCTGGTTTGCTCATCTCGAATCAACAGTTTTTTCTATGTATTTTTGGTTAGATGTGTGAACTGAGGTCTGTGGTTAACACAAGCCAAATAGATCTTCACTTCTATGACAGAAATACTTCAATAAATACCCCACTCAAGAATGTCAGTATGTGTCTTCAAAACGGCGATGCTCTAAGTCACTGAATAAACGATGAAACACCATCAAGGCGAACATTAGCCGCGTTTAGTTTAACGGTGGTGATGTGAAGTCATGTGACTCTGCTGTAGTTTGTTTAGCATAATGTTAGTTTTTTACTTTTGGGGATTGCATTTATACTTCAATGTGATGTTAATATGTGGAGATTATCCTGCTGAACAATATGTGTAAGTATCACGAACATGTTGGCCACAGGTCTTACTTTTCTCAATGTTACAACATGGAATGCAAAGAACCATTGTCTTTTTGTCGGGGTGCCCTTGCTGACTTCCAGCTCGGCCTACATGCGATTAACAGAGATCTCCTAGAACCTCATCCAAATCGATGTGTAGTTTCTTCTCATCACACATCAGAGCAGAGCCTTTTTTCATTTCCCATCATTAGTAAGCATGAAAACCTAAAGCCCCCTGAGCGCTTCCACCTCCTCCACCTCCACCTCCTCCTCCCCTTCCTCCTCATCCTCCTCCTCCTCTTCCTCCTCCACCTCCTCCTCCCCTTCCTCCTCCTCCTCCTCCTCCTCCTCTTTTGTTCTTTTCTCTCTAAAAGTCAAGTTCCTGAGCCGTAGCCGATCCCTGCCTCCTGCCTTTGTCTGTGACCGTGGGCGAGAAGCACTTTCAGATTACTGTGTGTGGAAAGTGTCTGGAAAGTTTGTGTGTTCTTTGCAACAAACCCTTAATCAAACTGCAAGTAAACCATCAAAATAAAAATAAAATAATGAATGAAAACAGAGCAATATCATAAAACAAAGTTTAGTAAGTAACATGGAAAAAAGTCTAATAATCAGGCGAGCTGTTTCCCTCTGTTCCCAGTCTTTATGCTAAGCTTAGCTAATTACTTTACTGTACAGAAATGACAGCGATTGAGCGGTATCGATCTTTTATTATCAAAACTGTAAGCAAATAAGATTATTCCCCGAAATGCCAAAGTGCTCCTTTTGAAATACAACGTGACTATGCAGTCCTTTCTGCTGTTCCCATGTCTACTAATCTCAAGAAAAGCCTTTCATTCAATCTAATCGAAAGACATATCAGGTCATCAGTAATGTGAAGGTCAGGGGTCAGAAGGTCATGTGACTTTTAAGATGACCAGGCATCCGGTCCTTAAAACCAGATTGTGTGTGTGTGTGTGTGTGTGTGTGTGTGTGTGTGTGTGTGTGTGTGTAAACATTAAGGTGTTAAATTAAGTCAGGTTTTACTATCAAGCAGCAACAACAAAAAACATTAAAATGTCAAACTGGCTCTCTTTCCTTACATTAACAGCAGCTGAGTCTCAAGGTTATTGTAGTATTTAGAGTCATTTACCTTACCACACCAAAAGCACATTACTCAGAAACTCACTTTTAAGGAGGCAAGGAAAAGTAGATGAAAGAAAGTACATGAAGAGAGCCACTGTTCTAAATTCTTCTTCCTCCTTAAACTGGAAGTTATCGTCCGTTTCTTCATCTCCTTTCAAAAGAAACCTCTTGGTAGATGAGGAGCTTCTCCCCATCGATCCATAGAGATTGAATACACTGCTTTATGGTATGGTCACGATATGGAGGACAAAAGGAAGAGGAGCATGATGGTGAAGACGAAGGCTTTTCTCCTCATCCATCACTTCTCCTTTGGCCCTCTATCCTCCTCTTCCTCTCCTCCTTTGTATTATAAATACATTCTGAATGCAAAGAGACGGAAAAGAGGAAGATAAATAAGCTTTATGACGAAGGAGGAAGAGAAGCGACCAGCTGTGACCTTCTCCTTTAGCCCTGAACATGACCCTGCTTTGTAGAGGAGGAGAGGAAGAGGGGCAGTGATTCGTATCGCATCCTAACCTCCTCCCTGTCATCTCCATCCTTTTTAAAGCTCCTCTTTCTCCTCCTCTTCCTCACCTCAATCCTCTCCGTCAATAGGTGGCTGGCAGGAGGAAAGAGGGGCAGTCAGTCGTGTCTGAGCTCACGCCTCTTTTCTTTCTTCATCCTAAATCTAAATCCAGCCATTCTCCTGTGTGTTCATGGCTGGCTGCTCTTCCTCCTCCTCCTCTTCCTCTGCCTCTTCGTCATTCATGAGATAAAACAAGAGACATGTTTGGAACATTAGGAAGCGTACACACACACACACACACACACACACACACACACACACACACACACACACACACACACACACACACACACATATTTTTTAGTAAGAACATTTATCTGACATTCCCTGCAAAAACCCTGGTAATCTCTACACTTAAATCTTCAATTAAAACAGCTCTTCCGCGCTACATTCAGGGACTAACAGAGGTTTTACCGCTCTGTGCGTCATTGTTTGTTTGGATAGTTTAACCTGAGAGGAGATACAGCAGGTCATGTGCTTTTCTGGGTTAATTCACACTTCTAATTCACTACAAAAATAAAATGTTTCTAAATTGGGATTCTGATTCCTCAAGTAAAATAATAAAAGCAGAGGACGATGCTGATCTGTGCAACCGTTTAAGTATGTCGTTTTTTTTTTCTGTCTCTCTCCCTTCAGATTGTTCAATAAACTACCCGTTGGGAAAACATGTTATCCACGAGGTCGCCAACGTTTCCTTCAGCCATCTGGCCTGCGAGGATCAGGCTGCTGTCATTGTCCACTGGTCTGCAAGTCCACTAGGTACCTGTCTGACTGACTGTCTGTCTGTCTGTCTGTCTGTTGTCTGTGTGTGTGTGTCTTTCTTTCTGTTGTCCGTCTGTCTGATTACTTGTCTATGTGTTTACATTGTTCTCCAACTTTCCTTCTTCTCCAAAAACATAATGACATCACTATTTGACATTCGTGCTTCTATTGGCTAGCACTCCAACACATTGCACGTGATATCTCAAAGCGGTTAACCAATCACAACAGAGCCGGCCAGCTAACCAATCAGAGCAGACTGAGCTCTGGTTTCAGACAGAGGGTGAAAAGAGGTGCTGCAGTATGAGACAAATAAAGACTGTTTGAACATTAAAGCTTTGAGACATGTCACAGTTGAGGAACTAAATACAAATATGAACCTGAGAATGAGCATAATATTTCCTTTAATAAAATGTTTATTAAACAATTTCAAAACGCCAACTGACAACCACTCTCTATAAAGACAGAAAGCGACACTGATAAAGTAAGGGTTAACTCTTTTACAAAGACTCCAAAGTACAGATCAAACGTATTGTGTGGAGACACACCAACACGCAAGGAACAAGCTGACAGCAGCTCTCCACAGCCCTTATGAGGGAGCACCCACGGGAGGCGGTACCTAGAGGGAGACAATTAGAGAGAGAGAGAAGCACACAAACCACAGCACGTAACACTCACAACTTCAATTAAAAACACTTCTGGACAAGCAGAGTAAAGTGTGTATACGAGTATGTAGGTTTTATATTTGACGAAGTTATATCAACTGATAACTACGACTTTAATAAAAACTATTTCAAGTTATACCTAGAAAAACAATAAAGCTGATAATTTGCTTGATACAACTTTGACTTGCTATATTGGATTACTGTTCATCCATAGCAATATTAAGAAAACTGTTTTGGGAAGTTGTGATATTTTTTTAAAACTTAGAAGAAAATAATCTGGATTTTCACATGAATCCTTTTTCCCCTAAACCCCTCGAGGAAGAGCAGGAAAGAAAAAGTGTGTGTGTGTGTGTGTGTGTGTGTGTGT